ATATGATATATTACTCAGAAATAAACAGGAATGAAGTGATACAATTTTGATGAACCTCAAAAACATTCCACTAAATTTTAAAAGCCTCCTGTATTCTCTATTTCTGTGTTCAATTCCACTTAATGGAGATATAAACATGGTCAGGTCTCTTCCACCTTTCTGTCATCCACCTTCCCCTTCACAAGCTTATTGAGAGATTGTCCACACCTTTTCTGATTCATCCCCCTCTCACTTTGCAATCCCTGGCATTACGATTTTTGCCTCTACTACTCTATTCAGAATTTTTTTTAATATTTATTTTTTAGTTGTAGTTGGACACAATACCTTTATTTCACTTATTTATTTTTGTGTGGTGCTGAGGATCGAACCCAGGGTCTCGCACATGCCAGGCGAGTGCTCTACAGCTGAGCCACAACCCCAGCCTGAGAGTATTTTTGACCAGATCATCTCCCTGTGGATAAAGACTATAACAATTTTTAATACTTATTATATTTGATCTTTCTTGACACATGAGATCTTGTCTCTCATTTTTGTTTTTAAATAGTCTCTCCCCTTACTTTCCCACACACTCCTGGTGGTTTGCCTTCTCTCTGGCTGTTCCTTCTCAGACTCCTTTGCAGAAGTTGGGTTTCATTTATAGGACATCCTCTCTTCTCACTCTACAGTCATTTTTGAGTCATGGTCTCACTAAGTTGCTGAGGCTGGCTTCCAACTTGCAATCCTCCTGCCTCAGCTTCCTGAATTGCTAGGATTACAGGTATTTGCCACCATGCACAGCAACAGACTTTTTAAGATACTGTGGTCAACTCTTAAGGCTATGCTAACAACTTCATAATCTGACTAATTCTATTCTCCTGAGATTCAATTTAATAATCTAGCTTCCTGCTGCACATCTTTCTTTGAATTCACATAGACATTTTAAATACTGTGTACTTCTTGAACTAAAAATTATCTTTCCTAGAATCCCGGTTCTATTCTTTATTCCCTAACTGTATGGTACCATCAACCAGCCAGTTGCCCCAACCAGAAAATAGAATTATTGACTGTTTTCTACCTCATTCTTCCCATCTAATCCAATTATCAAGTCCATTTGATGCTGCATCTTAGATATCTCCCAAAGCCATTCATTCCTTTTCCCTTTCCTGGTAGAGGCTCATGTTTCTTATTTGGTTACCATAAAAGCTAACTTGTCTCTCTGCTTCAACCAGATAATACTCTGATACAGGAAGTCCTTGAATTTGAATAGTAAAAAAAAAAATTATTCACGCACACAGACATATATACATACTTTTTTTTTCTTTTAGCTTCTAACTGAAATGACAACTCTCTATTTTGAATATAGGTAGCAAACCAAAGAAGTATTAACAGAACCTGTGATTTTGTCACCAATAAAAATTTCAAATATTTTCATGCTAATTGTTGTAGATATAACAAAACACTTTTATTTATCACCATCTTGAATTATAGTACTAATTATACTAATTAGATATTATAGCTTAAAGTTAATAAGGAAGCTCACAAATTGCTCTAGCACAAGTTTATTTTTTTATTTTGGTTACTGTATTTCACATCATTGGTTTCCCCTGTAGTCTTTTGTACTTTATTTCATGCTTTTCATAATTTTGTTCTAGAAAAATTCATCTTAGATAATCACCGAGATTGCCATAGGTGGTCTGTGACATAAAAAGTCAAAAAAAAAAAAAAACCAAACACCTTTTTCTAATTTTTTCTACTGACTGGAATCAAATTAATTTTTTTAAATGAAACTTTAATCATGTCCCTCAAAACCCTTTAATCATGTTCACAAGTTGTCCTTAGAATAAATAAGATAAAATCTAGTCCCTTTAATATGGTTTACAAGTTAGTCTGTCTGGTCTGTTTTCTCGCCATTGCTCTTCCCAGTGGTGTGCTGTGGCCAGCTAGTAGTAGAGAGGTCCAATTGTTAAGGTTCCTATAATTTATTGAACCAGTTTTTGAATCATAGATAGTTTGAAATCAGTCATCAAATAGGCTTTATACACCACAGGGCTCAGCAAACACTACAAATAAGAGGTTTTTGTTACTGATTTTGCACTTCAGAAAACCAGTTATTAAACTTTTAGCAGCATACTACTGGCCTCACCCCCAAAGTCTACTGTAAGTTCCAGCTTTATTGAACTTATTTCTTTTAAATAATTTTGCTATCTCTTGCCAGTATGCCCTTTTATATGTTTTTCTCTTACTCACTTTATAAACTGTTCCAAATTGTCAAAACTGCTGACCAAATATAGGTGAATGTGAAATTGTCATTTGGAATGACTGAGAGTTGGATAAGTATTATTACAAGAAGTATTATTCTTGCCATCCTAGAGATTGAACCCAGAGGTGCTTTACCACAGAGCTACATCCCCAACCCTGTTTATTTTTTATTTTACACACTCTTAAGTTACTAAGGCTGGTCTTGAACTCATGATCATCCTGACTTAGCCTCCCAAGTAGCTGGAATTAAAGGTGTACACCACTACACCTGGCTACATTTGTTGAAGTCCTTGAGCATTATTGAAAATGATGTTTCCCTAACACAAATAAAAGTCTTTATCACATCTTAAAATACTGAAAGAGTGTCATACTATACTCCCAGAAGACATTAAACATTTTGCCAGTACTGAATCTATCCTTCAGGTCATAAATTTTGTCTCTAAATATGTCTTCTTATTGTATTCTTTTCCTCCCTCCCTCCCTCCCTCCCTCCCTAACCCCCCTTCTCCTCCTCTCTCTCCCTTTCCTCCTTCTCCTCCTCCTCCTCCTCCTCCTCCTCCTCCTCCTCCTCCTCCTCCTCCTCCTCCTCCTCCTCCTCCTTCTCTCTCTCTCTCTCTCTCTCTCTCTCTCTCTCTCTGATTTTGTCCCTTTTATTAAAGTGGGAAGTTTCTTTACTTAAATAATTGCCAGGTAACATAACATTTATATCCTTGGTAGAAATATTTTTAGTGAAAATGCTAGAAGAAATGCACTGAAGAATGAGTCCATTTATTTTTTTATGCTCATATATTTTGTTAATGTTTGTAGTAATCTCCAAAACTGCCAGATTGTCCAAGTGTCCACTATATCTCTATGATTTTTGTAGATGGAGGTAAAGCTTTAGTTTGCATGCTCTCACTTGTTTTATCCTTTTTATTGTGTAGGTATTATAGAGCTGGTGCTAAAAGGTTGTTTTTTTTTTTTTTAATCATTTAAATTTGAAGGAAAAAAAACCCTGAATGTCTAGTTTCTACTCTCCAAAAAAATCATACCATCTAGTGCAGGGGACAAAGTATATCTACAAAATAGTTAAATAACAATATAAGGTAGTAAATTATTAAGACCACAAATAAATTGTTACCTGGCCACTTACTAGTTATGTAACAGCAAGATGCCTAATCTTGCCAAGCATCCATTAGTACCACAAAAAATAAAATAAGAAAATGAAAGTTATAAAGTACTGACTGAATATGAATTTATTATAATTACTAATATTATTAATGCTTATGATGTAGTAGGAGAAAAAGGAACTTTGTTTAATACACATCTGAGCTTTTTCTGGGTGTTATTTCTTTCCTGCTTATCCAAAACTTTGGGTGTTAGGCCTCTGAGTTACTTTTCAGTCCCTAATTTGTTCACATTTGTTCTCCCTGTTTTTCCTTTTGAAAGATTTTTTGCGTTTCAGAAACTGTTTTCCTTTCATTCTTGAATTTGCTACCACCTACTGTATCCTTGGTTTCTTGTACTCTGAGTCAAGCCAAAATGTAGGAATATAATTTTCCCCACTTTAATTTTGTTAGCTGTCTCCCCCAATGAGCACAGTTTGTCTATTTTTAAGGTTTATACAACTAATCACTAAGTGAGCCAGAGAGGATAATAAATATAGGAACTTAGCTTCTAAAATCCATAGGTTTCCAAAGGTATTCTGTGATATTTCTAATTTTCTTTTTCAAGAAACATGTGTCCTATTCTCTCATGTCATCTTTTAAATTTTTTTTTAGTTTACTTCGGTCTCTTCTTCCATCCTTTTATATTTTGTGTCAACAAAGGTAGACTTAACTTTCTTAAAAAGGAATTTAGATTTTCCTTTGTAATTCTTATTCTTCCCTTGTGACTGCAAAACCCAGAACTCCACTTAAATTAACAACAAGAAAAACTTCACTGAAAAGGATTATGGAAACTACCTTATGAGTTTAGATCTTTTCTTTGGCAGTAGGTACATTTGTAATGTAAAAAGAGAAAATGAACTAACTATAAAAACTCCTGGGATGCCATCTTTTATTCTTTTATAATTATTTCTATTTTTTGTAATCTAGATTTTAATGTTTTTAATTCTTTCATTTCCAAAGTTGATGAAAATGTTACTATTCATGTATAATTATTGCTAAGATTAGATAAAGTTCTAGAAGACCTTTCAGTTATTTGTTAATTAAAGTCATTATTCTTTAATAGCTATTCAGAAATGATATATTAAGGATTAGAGATGCAGGAAGGAGCTATACAAGAATGGCCTGTATTGCTTCCTTATTAGGGAATACTTTTTCTGCTTTAATAGATTCTACTTAGATAGTGTTTATTTTATTCTAATTCTTTGTTATACTTAAAGGGCCAGGAAATAAACTTAAGTGGGGGAATGAATGGAATAACAAGAATATAGAAATCGTTTGAGGGCCTCTGTAACTCTCCAGAAATCTCTGAAATTTATATATAAATTCCCTTTTCATGAAATTCTAAAAAATTTAACACTGATAGGTCCTAGTTCTAGGTTCTTTAGCACTGTTGTATGAATTTACTTTGTTCGTTTAAATAGAGTTGTTAACTATATCTGAGAAATGGTTGTGTTGTGGTTTTAATTATTTAAACTTCATGATCGAAATGTAATGATCATCAGTAACTTAAAAATAATGTTACTAATATTCTTATTATCTAATCATAAATTGTAATAATCATTAACAGATTAATCTCTACTTTCTGTTTTTGTAATTCATTTCACTCTTTTCCAGCTACTTTGACAAGCTATTCTGAAAACATGGAACGCACAAAATATGTTGGAGAAAGCAGTAAAGAATTAGGATCTGGAGGAAACCTAAAACCTTGGCAGACTCAAAAATCCAGCATGGACTCCTGTCTATATCGAGTAGATGAAAACATGACTGCTTCTACGTATAGTCTGAATAAGATCCCAGAGAGAAATTTGGAAACAGTTTTATCTCAGTCAGTGCAGTCTATTCCTTTGTATCTTATGCCACGGCCAAATTCAGTAGCAGGTAAGATATTTTGTTTTGTTTTTGTTTTTAAATAACCATTTCACTGGAGTACATATAGAAGTGAAAATAAATTCTCTTCTAAAAACATTTAAATTTTCTATTAATCTTCATTAAACCATTCTTTATGCTTTGGTAATATAGGTACATGTGTATATTTCTTTGAACTTGGGGAAGATTCATCTTTCTCAAGTGATTGCTTAGTTCTGCTCCCGTAATATGCAAAAACACACATTATATCAGAAACAGCTTATCAAGTATATCATCAAACTAATAAATTCTTTTTCTTACATCAGAATGAAAGAATTTTAGTTTGAGATTTTAGTTTTTTCCTAGAAGAATCACCAGGTACCTGTATTTCTAGAGAACAACTCATGCTTCTAGCAAATGCAGTTGTAAAAGAAAGATAGAGAAGGTTAAGTGACTGAAATGTGGAGTCGTCATTCTTTAACAGCTAATCAGAAATGATGTCAAGGGATATTTTTAATACAGTTAAGTTGCTATTTAATATTTAAAACCAAGCAGTTTTATAGAAATAGACATTCTGGCATTATCAAAATGCATCACCATCTGGACTTTGTCCAGACTACAAAATAAAATTTATGTTTGTCTTTCTTAACTTTCTTGATAAATGCCTGTGTAGATTTATCTAAGTGATGTAGAATAATAAAAACTTATTGTAGTCAAGAGCTCTTATTTCCCAGATATAATTGTTACTCAGATGATAGAGTGGTGCATATTACCCTTCCCAGTTCCCATTTCCCGCCTATTCTAAATCATTATTTTTTTGTACTTAATTCTGGGAGATGTATCAGGTGTCATTATGGGAGACTGGCTAATCTGGAAGATTAGTAATTGCAGAAGATTTCTTACTAATTCTTTATGATTGTCCACTTTTAAATATTTCTTCTCCTAGATCCTTCTAAATATATTGATCCCCAACTACCATATCATATTAGAATCCTAAAATTCTCTAATTTTATGGAAATTGTATTTTTCCAGAAGGAAAAGCATATAAATCCTAGCTTATATGTAAATGGGGAAATCCAGCTACTCAACTTTAAAATGTATCCCAGTTTACTTCCTAAGCTACAAAGATTTATAAGAAAATTCTGGATCTATTTTTTGAGAAAGGCATTGAATACTGTGTAGGAGAAATAGAGATAAAAGCTCTAGTTCATTCAGTTGAGCTACATAAGTTTCAATGTATTATATTAATTCATGGCCGTGTATCCCAGTCACTTAACAGCATTAGCATTCTGCACCCCTTTTTCCTTATTGCTCACCAGTGCATTTTCTCTATATCCCCTAGAACCATTTTTCAGTGTATTATTAATCAAGAACCTTCTCATTTGGTTAAAACCTATTCAGCCCTTCCTCAGGCTTCTCAGCCCAAGCATATCTCACAATTGTTCTCTATATTTGCCAACCATTCCCTTCCCCCTCTTGTAGTTATCTTGTGCCTTCCAGGCAATACCAGAACTGAGAGACCTGTGAGAAGAGAGACGGAACCAAGCCTTAGTGAATTTATTATTTTAATCTTAGTCTTGAAAAGTCATTAGAACTACATGTAACTAACCATGAGTCAGTGATAAGCCACAAGGCACCTACCAAATCATCCATCTGCCTGGCTACCTTTCCAGGCTGAACTCACAATCTCCCTCCTTCATGAAACTTTCCCCAGTCATTAATTGCTTCATCCTCTAGGCTCTTCCGTCCAACATATATATTTTTTTTCCTTTTGTGTTAACGACAGCTATTGTGTAAATGTATTGGTCTAACTACTATAATGTAAACTTTTTGAGATTAGTAACTGAGAATACTTCAGTAGATGCTTCATAATTATTGGTTGAGTAAGCACATTAATGAATGAACTGACCATATATGAAATCTGCTTTTAAATCCAGTTACAATTCCTTTTCATTCTACCATAGGATATATTCATCTTGTAGCAGAGATTACAAAAAAAATCAAGGTACCTTCATTTAAAGAAAGCACTATGTATATGAGATATTAATATAGACCAGTCATAAAACAGTTTTGGACTTATTTTTAATATCTCAGTATCTCATTCTTCCCAAATCACAATCTGTGGTTCTCTGTAATAAGTGGAGTGTACAACAGCATTTATCATTACGTGTTAACAACTGGCAACATAATTTTTTAATGTTTGACCAGAAAGCCTTTTTATTCAACTAGAAATGAACTGGCATTTTTATCTTACTAATAGTAGAGAATACTTGAAAGGGTCTAGGAGTAGCTGTATTACCAAATTTGCAGATTAGAAAAATGACTGTAAATATCCATCTATATAGACTAAATTGAAGAAGGAAAGCCTGAAGTTAGGAATAATAGTGAAAATCTTCTTCTGTTTTGGAAAATTACAAATAATGAATTACCTGATTGAAGGCTATGTTAATATGAGTAGAGAAAATAGCTTGAGAGAGTTTTTTATCTTAAAATGTAACATTTATTAGTTATTTTTTTAAATACAGAGAGGTCAAAGAAGAAGACAAAGCAAAAAAAATGAGCCTTAGTCTCTTTGCCCAGTGCTAGCCTTACATATTTTAGGAATTAAAGGTTTATATGTATTATAATTTTTATCTGATTTATATACTATATACTTCCAAAAATATGAAAGAAAAGGGAATAGCCACTCTTCTCTACCTCCTACCTCTCCACAAGAGTTAATATTTCTTATTCTTTAAAATCTATATATTTATGTATGTGTATATCTATAATGATATAGCTACATTTGGTTTTGATATATGTAAGAGATGTGAGGTCAGAAAATCAACAGGATTTATATAAGAGAAATTAAAGCATATAGTCTAAAAAATATATACATAAATGAACATATCAGCTTTGTTTATAATAGCCTAAAACTGCAAACATCCCAAATGTTCATCAACAGGTGAGTGAATATACAAATTGCAGTGTGTATGTGCAATAGAATACTACTCAGCAATAAAAGGAAAAAGAACTATTAGTACTGCAATAAGACATACAAAACTCAATTATGCTGGGTGAAAGAAGGCATCTTTTAGAAAATAGATACTGTGTTTATATAAAATCATAAAAAGTACAAACTAATCTATAGTCCTCTCTTCTGTTACAACCATCTGCATGTACAGGTATCACCTAGCCATCTTCATGTTTGCCTGTGAAAATTGGTGTTCAGGGAACTGGCATGAGTGTTGATCCTCTGGCTATCTCTAATTAAGAGTTATAAACTGCCTTTCATCTCAGACTCAAAAATCTCATGTCTTCTTCTAGTGCCCCAGGTTTTTTAGTTTACAAGTAGGATGATATACGAGATCTTTCACAGTTCTTGACAATGAGATGCCACTCTACCAGACCCACAAAACTAAAAGAAATAATATTGACAGGGATATGGTGCAATTGAAACTGTGATGCATCAATAATGGGAGTATGTTAATAAATTGGTTCTACCACTTTGAAAAGCTGTTTGGCAGGATCTGTTAAAGATATAACTATATTATATTTTACCAAAAATCTAGCAATTCCACTCACATAGAATGCCCATGAAAAATAAGTATGTTCAACAGAAGACAACTGTAAGAATGTTTGTAATTGTAATGCATTCTTCTGTCATTTATAACAAATTAAGATAAAAATAATAATACATCTGGAGAGGATAAAAACAAAAAAAGAATGTATTTTTTTTATTCAAAATAACCCAAAAATCTAAAATCCACCCAAATATTTATCAATTAGTAGGGTTGATGAATAAATTGTGTATAGCAGTGAAAAAGAATGTATTGCTGTTAATAGACAACATTGAATATGAGAATTCAGATTTGAAAGAATATAAACTAGATGAAGTATTTACATTTATATAAAGATTAAGAAAAACAGTCACTACTATGATGATAGAATCAAAGTAGCAGTTACCTTTGGTAGGGCTATTGACTAAGGAAGCTTTTTATATCTTGATCCAAATAGTGGTCATGTGGTGTGTACATATATAAAAGTTAATTGAGTACACTTTATGTATATAAATCCTACTGCAACTTTAAAAACAGATAAAAAATATATTTTGCCTCTTGTCTTTCTGGAAGGATTTTTTTCTTGTCATTGGTATAAAAATAAGTTATAGGAAACAAAGCCTTTATCTGAAATACCTACTTTTAATGTTGCTTAAAGACAACCTAATTGTAAAAATTGGATAGTTTACTTAAGGTGTTCCATTTTACTGAGAGTATAAAACAAAGATCAGTATCCAAACCAGCCAAAAATTATTATTGCCACCAGATAATCCCATTCTCACCTCCAGTCCCAGGTAGCTAATAATCTATTTTCTGACTCTATAGATTTATATTTTCTAGACTTTTTAATTTAAATGGAGTCATACACTATGATTTTTGTCTGGTTTCTTTCACTTGCTGCTTTTAAGGTTAATCTGTGACAAAGAATGTATCAGTAGTTTGTTGCTCTTTATTTCAAGAGTCTTCCAAACATATGTGTCTGCCACATTTTACCTATCCATTTACCAATTGAGAGACATTTAAGTTATTTCCAATTTGGGGCAATTATGAATAGTGCTGTTACAAACATTTGCATTAAGTCTGGATAGACATATTTTCATTTCCCTTAGATAAACACCTAGGAGTAGAATTGTTGTATGATATGGCAAATTTATTTTTAAATTTTTTTTAAAAATTGCCAAACTGTTTTTCAAAGTGATTATACAGTTCTGCATTTCTTTCAGCAAAGTACAAGTTTTCCTGTTTGTTTCTCCATATTTCCTTCCCCACTTGTTATTGTTTTATCTTTAGTATTTTTTGTAGTTATTCTAATAGGTGTGAAATGCTGTTTAATTGTGATTTCAATTTATATTTTGCTAATGCTTAATAATGTTGACCTATTTTGTGTATATATTAGCTATATACACATCTTCCTTAATGAAATTTCTGTTCAAATCTTTTTGTACATTTTCGTTTTTGATTCTTACTGGTTTTTAAGAATGTGTTATATATTCT